GTGGTGTATATGTAGTGATGATGGATGGTGTTATATGTAGTGATGATGGGTGGGTGTTGTTGTGTGATGGGTGTATATGGTATGGTGTATGTGATTGGGTGGTGTTATATGTAGTGATGATGGGTGGTGTTATATGTAGTGATAGTGGATGGTGTTATATGTAGTGATGATGGGTGTTATTTATGTAGTGATGATGGGTGTTGTTATATATGATGATGGTGTTTATGATCTATATATAAAGAGAGATCTCAGGAAACTACTACCGACCTGTAGTGATGATGGGTGGTGTTATATGTAGTGGGTGGTGTTATATGTAGTGATGATGGGGTAGTGATGATGGGTGGTGTTATATGTAGTGATGGATGGTGTATATAGTATGTTGTGTTGAGTTGGTTTTTGTAGTGATGATGGGTGTTATATGTAGTGATGATGGGTGGTGTTATATGTAGTGATGATGGATGGTGTTATATGTAGTGATGATCTATATAAAACAAAGAAGTATGTGTTTTATTGTGTCTGCAGAGAATCCTAAAACTACTTTCGACCTGTAGTGATGATGGATGGTGTTATATGTAGTGATGATGGGTGGTGTTATATTGTGATGATGATGGATGAGGTTATATGTAGTGATGATGGATGGTGTTATATGTAGTGATGATCTATATATATAAAACAAAAGTATGTGTTTTGTTTGTCTGCAAGAGATCTGAAACTAACTGACCTGTAGTGATGATGGATGGTGTTATATGTAGTGATGATGGGTGGTGTTATATGTAGTGATGATGGGTGGTGTTATATGTAGTGATGATGGATGGTGTTATATGTAGTGATGATGGGTGGTGTTATATGTAGTGATGATGGATGGTGTTATAGTGATGATGGGTGGTGTTATATGTAGTGATGATGGATGGTGTTATATGTAGTGATGATCTATATATATAAAACAAAAGTATGTGTTTTGTGTGTCTGCAAGAGAATCTGGAAACTACTTTACCGACCTGTAGTGATGATGGGTGGTATATGTAGTGATGATGATGGGTGTGTTATATGTAGTGATGATGGGTGTTATATGTAGTGATGATGGATGGTGTTATATGTAGTGATGATGGGTGGTATATGTAGTGATGATGGGTGGTGTTATATGTAGTGATGATGGGTGGTGTTATATATAGTGATGATGGGTGGTGTTATATGTAGTGATGATGGGTGTGTTATATGTAGTGATGATGTATGGTGATGGGTGGTGTTATATATGGTGATGATACGGTGGTGGTATATGTAGTGATGATGATGGGTGGTGTTATATATGGTGATGATGGATGATGTTATATGTAGTGATGATGGGTGGTGTTATATGTAGTGATGATGGGTGGTGTTATATGTAGTGATGGGTGGTGTTATATGTAGTGATGATGGGTGGTGTTATATGTAGTGATGATGATGGATGAGGGTTATATATAGTGATGATGGGTTGGTGTTATATGTAGTGATGATGGTGGTGTTATATGTAGTGATGATGGGTGGTGTTATATATGATGGGTGGTGTTATATGTAGTGATGATGGGTGGTGTTATATGGTGATGATGGATGATGTTATATGCAGTGATGATGGGTGGTGTTATATGTGAAGTGATGATGGGTGGTGTTGCATATGTAGTGATGATGATGGATGAGGTTATATATGGTGATGAGTGGAATTTGGTGTTATATGCTGGTGATGATGGGTGGTGTTATATATGGTGATGATGGGTGGTGTTATATGTAGTGATGATGGGTGGTGTTATATGGTGATGATGGATGATGTTATATGTAAGTGATGATGGGTGGTGTTATATGCGTGATGATGGGTGGTGTTATATGTAGTGATGATGGGTGGTGTTATATGTAGTGATGATGGGTGGTGTTATATATGGTGATGATGGGTGGTGTTATATTAGTGATGATGGGTTTGTGTTATATATGGTGATGATGGATGATGTTATATGTAGTGATGATGGGTGGTGTTATATGTAGTGATGATGGGTGAATGTTATATGTAGTGATGATGATGGATGGGGTTATATGTAGTGATGATGATGGGTGGTGTTATGTGATGATGATGGGATGGTGTTATATATGGTGATGATGGATGATGTTATATGTAGTAGATGATGATGGATGAGTGTTATATGTAGTGATGATGGGTGGTGTTATATGTAGTGATGATGATGGATGGGGTTATATGTAGTGATGATGGGTGGTGTTATATGTAGTGATGATGGGTGGTGGTATATATGAGGTTGATGATGGATGATGTTATATGGTAGTGATGATGATGGATGATGTTATATGCTTTAGTGATGATGGGTGAAGGTGTTATATGTATTGATGATGATGGATGAGGTTATATGTAGTGATGATGGGTGTGTTATATGTAGTGATGATGGGTGGTGTTATATGTGGTGATGATGGGTGGTGTTGTTATATGTGGTGATGATCTATATATAAAGACAAAAGAGTATGTGTTTTGTGTGTCTGCAAGAGGAATCTAAAGAGCCTACTTTACCGACCTGTGATGATGGAGTGGTGTTTACTTATATGTAGTGGGTGGTGTTATATGTAGTGATGATGGATGGGGTTATATGTAGTGATGATGGATGGTGTTATATGTAGTGATGATGGGTGAGTGTTATTTATATATGGTGATGATGGGTGTGGTGTTATATGTAGTGATGATGGGTAATTGTTATATGTAGTGATGATGGGTGGTGTTATGGTGATGAAGTCTATATATATAAAACAAAGTATGTGTTTTTGTGTGTCTGCAAGAGAATCTCAGAACTACTTGCAAACTGTAGTGATGATGGATGGTGTTATATATGGTGATGATGGGTGGTGTTATATGTAGTGATGATGGTGGTGTTGTAATGTAGTGATGTTTGGATGAGGTTATATGTAGTGATGATGATGGATGAGGTTATATGTAGTGATGATGGGTGGTGTTATGTAGGTGGCGATGGATGTTGTTATGTGTAGTGATGATGATGGATGAGGAGTTATATGTGGTGATGATGGAAGATGTGATGTGTAGTGATGATGGATGGTGTTATGTGGCAAGAGATAGTTAGGCAATAATATAATATTGGTTTAATGCTAAAATAATATATACGTACTTTGCTGTACATTGGCAAGTGGAACATACACCGTTAATGAACTATTGATGGAAGGATTTTGAGGACTGAACAGTGAGACAATGTGGAGGCCTCCCAGAGGTGGCGTCCTACCACAGCCTAGCAGATAGACGCCCAGATAAACTTAGCATGGATAGCAAGTGTCATGTGGAGATCTCAAAAAAACTCCAACTAGCGATCCGACACACCCAGCCCGGCCCGACCGTTAAACCACCACAGAGGGTTGAAAAAGATGTGGAAATGTTGTAAGGTTTTGCACGAGATTCTCAGGAAACTAACTGCCGATCTGTAGTAATGATGGATGGTTTCATATGTAGTAGTGATGGATGGTGTATATCTAGTGATGATAGATAATGTTATATAGTGATGATGGATGTTGTTATATGTAGTGATGATGAGTTGTGTTATATATAGTGATGAGTAGATGGTGTTATATGTAGTGATGATGGATGTTTGTTATATAGTGATGATGGGTTTGTGTTATATGTAGTGATGATGGATGATGTTATATATGTAGTGATGATGGATGTTGTTATATGTAGTGATGATGGGTTTGTGTTATATGTAGTGATGATGAATGTTGTTATATGTAGTGATGATGGATGGTGTTATATGTAGTGATGATGGATGTTGTTATGTAGTGATGATGGATGTTGTATATGCTTAGTGATGATGGATGGTGTTATATGTAGTGATGATGATGGATGTTTGTTATATGTAGTGATGATGGTGGTAGTAGTGATGGTAGTGATGGTGGTGCTATATGTAGTGATGATGGATGGTGTTATATGTAGTGATGATGGATGGTGTTATATGTAGTGATGATGGATGGTGTTATATGTAGTGATGATGGATGGTGTTATATGTAGTGATGATGGATGGTGTTATATGTAGTGATGATGGGTGGTGTTATATGTAGTGATGATGGATGGTGTTATATGTAGTGATGATGGATGGTGTTATATGTAGTGATGATGGGTGGTGTTATATGTAGTGATGATGGATGGTAAGAGGTAGTGATGATGGATGGTGTTATATGTAGTGGACAGATGAGTGGTGTTATATAGTGATGATGGATGGTGTTATATGTAGTGATGATGGATGGTGTTATATGTAGTGATGATGGATGGTGTTATATATGTAGTGATGATGGGTGGTGTTATATATGGTGATGATGGATGATGTTATATGTAGTGATGATGGGTGGTGTTATATGAAGTGATGATGGGTGGTGTTATATGTAGTGATGATGGGTGGTGTTATATATGGTGATGATGGATGATGTTATATGTAGTGATGATGGGTGGTGTTATATGAAGTGGTGATGGATGTTGTTATATGTAGTGATGATGATGGATGAGGTTATATGTGGTGATGATGGAAGATGTGATATGTAGTGATGATGGATGGTGTTATGTGTAGAGATGATTAGACAATAATATAATAACAGTTTAATGCTAAAATAATATACTTTGCTGTACCGTTGTAGTGGAACTTACATACACCGTTAATGAACTATTGATGGAAGAAGTTTTGGGGACTGAACAGTGAGACAATGTGGAGCCTCCCGGAGGGTGGCGTCCTACCGTGGCCTAGCGGATGAGCCGCCCGGAAGGCGGCGATTCTGCTAATATATATATATATATATATATATATATATATATATATATATATATATATATATATATATATATATACATTTTTCACTGCTTTGAAACCAGAGGTGCAATTTGGTAGAGAGGAGCATGTGGCAGAGGAGTAGGTAGTGCACTATGTTCTGGCCCTCCACGAGGGAGAGAGAATGAGATAGATTATGTCAAATTTCTCTACCTCTCACTCATCGCAGGTACAAGAGGACTATTCTTGGGGCCGATCATGGACAACATCATGGGTAAGAAACCTTCCCGCGACATGTAGAAGTCACAGGATCCTGTTGAGGCGGAATTCAGTGTTATGTGGCAGTTTATGAGAGAAAATATTTATCTATATGTTATATATATAGTTATATATATATATATATATATATATATATATATATATATATATATATATATATATATATATATATATATATATACTATATATAGACAGTGGTAGCCAGCTAGTGAAACCTGAACCTTAAAGACAACACGATAAAAAATAAATCAATACACTTATGTTTTTTGTTTTTTTTATGATCCGTAAAGTTATATATGGGCCAATGACAAACATGCAGACTCCAGAGGAAGTATTCATGCACGTGAAGACATAATGTAATAAGGAGTTGAACTCTGTTTATTACGCTGTTTTAAAAAATAAGAAAGTTTTACCAAAAGATCATATGAGCTGCAACGGATAAAAATTTAAATGAGAACTATGGTAGACCTAGTACTTATGAGTGATTGTTTAACATCTTCACTAGTCACTGATGTAGGTGTGTCGCAGCTACAACTTATTGAACTTTCTGAAGATGGCAGTAAGAATTTTTTTTTTTTTGATGGACACTCTTAAGGTCTAGATCACAAGAGCGAAGGTGAATTACCGCAGGATCGATGTGTGGCTTTACATAGCTTTGCGAGTCTTTTTTTGTCTGCCTTTAAACGTGAGAAATCCTAGTAAAAATTACCTCGTTTGTCCACAATTGAACACAGGCCAAATTTCAAGAAAGTTATCGAAAGTAAGTATTGCAAGAAATCCTCCTGTCCTACCCGTGTGTCATACAATTTAACCTTTTGAGGGACAGGAATTTCTCTCAGCTGTCGTTAGTCAGAATAATACATCTTAGTGCGACAGTAACCATCGAAAGGGTTAAGATATATTTTGACTATTATCATTATTGTCATTATTCATTATATCGGTTTCTTTGTTCATTTCAAGACGCCTAAATTCTAAAGATATATTTCATATTAACAAAGTATATATCATCACACTTTTTATACACCTGTAACTCTATCTTAAAGTACTTGGGTGGTTTCCTTCTGACCATTTAGCCACCCCTGACATGTAAAAATATGAAATGTCTTAAATCGACGATAATGGAATTAATCAATACTCCTGCAGGTATAGAACAATTTTTTTTTAAGAATAATGTCAAAACATTTTTACAGTCCCCCAAAAACGTATCGTTAGATTTTCTATCGCCAGAATTTGAAACACTAGACGAGGTGCTTTGATATGATCCTCAGTACATACTCTTAAGTTGGCAGTAGGATTGGGGGAGGGAGTCGTACTTGTATGTAGCGTTCGAAAATATTCATACTCATTCATGCTCAAAGGTCTGAAAGCCTCTAATTACATCGACCCCATGGCTAACGATACCTTTTTAGGGGGGACTGTACTGTATATCTAATATAGGCAATATAAAAGAAATTCCTCATTGATTCCAGACTTATCCGTAGTCTGTATAAACTTATGACCTGAATGACTGAAGTCTTGGCTCATAAACATGTTACTGATTTCCTCCACCTCGATGAGGACGTGGTCTCCTCGCCTCACCAGGGAGTTGACGCTGCGTGGGAACTCTTTGATCGTGTGGAACTTGATCCGTCCAGATGTTTCCGTCTTGGCCACCTCTTGGAATATGCCTGACTGTGCAGACTTGAAAACCACATCATTTATACTCGTGAAACTTTATGGTATAATAAATAACACATTGTTTATTAGACTTCATTTATAATAAGGAAATTTTAAATATATATAATAATAGACCGTTTCATCTCAACATATTAAAAATGTAGTTTGATGAGGTATAAAAATAGTAACGGTTAAATATAAAGTAATTAGTTGCAACTGGACTAGAAATGAGGGGTAGATCATCATAATTCATGATGTATTAAAGTTTCATCCATTATATACTTATGATGTAAAAGGTTTTGTCACAAACAATCTAGTGTATAATCGAGTACGTAGCTAAATCAGATACCTAACCTGGGAGAACTTAATTCAGTTCACTTAATACTTTACTGTCATATGACCCTTACATTAGCTCGGTATCCGCCATATTAAAAGAACTGCGTTTATATGTTAGTAAAGTATAACATACATGTATTATATGTTCATTTGTTGAGCCACTTTGCCAAATCATGATAACCGAGGGGTCGTCCAGCACGTCTTGTAATGTTTGGTAAGGTTGAGGGATGTGTCTCACGGCCAGGAGGGACATGAGGTTGCCGGCGTAGCTCCGTGTTAACACCAGTGTCGTCAACATCCACACCCCCAACAGTACCCGCTCCCACCACCAGTCATCGGGGAAGGAAATGTCTGGAACGATTCCATGAGAAAATTCCAGTGGACAAAATCCCACCGGACAAAATCCCAGCGGACAAAACCCAGCCTCTTATCCCAAAAGTGGACAAAAACCCAGTCTCATATAAGATTAATTAATAAGATTAGGTGTAAAGACCTTTTGCCTGTTATCATATTGTATCAATTTGACTTTAAATTTGTTTTTAAAGTTTTTTTTTTTTTTAAATATGAGACTTTTATTTATAAGACTGGGATTTTGTCCACTTTTGGGATAAGAGGCTGGGTTTTGTCCGCTGGGATTTTGTCCGCTGGGATTTTGTCCACTGGGATTTTGTCCACTGGGATTTTGTCCTGTAGCCGTCTGGAACAGTGTGTACGCTTGAAATTATCCCAGCACGAACATTCAACAGCTTATGAAATTCTACTCTATTCCACAATGGCACATATGTATATGTATATATGTGGGGTTTTCATGGTAATGTGCTTCGTGTCCATTCTAGGGCCCGATAGATTATGGATATAAAACAAATCTATCGAGTTTTACGTTATTTCCTTGTATTATAGATATCAAAGTAATACTTGAACCAGTATAATCTAATTACCTTGTTGAAGCAATACACGAAACATACTGAAGGCATCAGTTGCTGATTCATTAGGAGGATTTGATAGCAGAGAGCAGAACAACGAAAAAAGAAACATAACCACAGGCAACACCACCAGCGCTGTCAGGATGGCCACCCACACCAACGGTGCCAAGGGCAGTAGGAAACCCCAGGGGTCCGCCTCCACCCCACGTTTACCAGCCATTATCCTAGAGTAGGTCACAAACAACGGCCACGTAAAGTCCACCACCTCAGCACGGCTGGCGCTGATGCCGAAGGGACCAATTGCGAAGTCTGCTTCCTAGCACCCGTAAATTAAAAGCCTCATTAATATTTTATCTCGTAACATTTTAACATCAACACACACAACCCAGGTATATAATAAGCTTGGTAGACAACCTCTGTCAACACAAACACTGTAGAGTAGTTAAAAAATACCTATTCATATAAATATATGTTTAAAAGATAAAAATTCAAGATTCATTACAAATGCATCTGTACAGAGGGATAGTTGAAATATGTTAACTGTTTACTCTGAACAACATTTGTCTTTCCTAATGACTTCTAGCCCTTTTTTTTGTTCGGGTATTAGCCCACCCGGGCACAGGTCACTGACCCACATCAGGGCCTGGGGGGCGAAAATATAATAATAATAAATAATAATAATAATAATAATAATAATAATAATAATAATAATAATAATAATAATAATAATAATAATAATAATAATAATAATAATAATAATAATAATAATAATAATAATAATAATAATAATAATAATAATAATAATAATAATAATAATAATAATAATAATAATAATAATAATAATAATAATAATAATAATAATAATAATAATAATACATTAATAATAATAATAATAATAATAATAATAATAATAATAATACATAATAATAATAATAATAATACATTAATGATAATAATAATAATAATAATAATAATAATAATAATAATAATAATAATAATAATAATAATAATTATAATAATAATAATCATAATAATAATAATAATTAATAAAAAAATAATAAATATTAATAATAATAAAAATAATAATATCCATAAATAATTCCAAAATGAAAACAAAACAAATCAAGAGTGATAAACGATATACAATATGTATGTTGTGTTGTTAATAGTAAGAGAAACAATTGAGACCCTGCAATTGTGTGCAAATGAGGCAGAAAGTCAGATCATCAACCTGGGACTTGGTCACATATAGCAGCAGAGTCTACCATTAGACAACACATTATGCTTCCAATATCTTCCCAGGCGGTAGTACCTCCCTGTTTGGTAGCTGCCTACTACCTACTACCTGTAATAGCTAACTGCTATTGTTATTATATCTTCAGTGTAATCTAAATAAAGGACCGTATATAGTGGAAAACTGCACTTTATTAGAATCCCGTTGAAAATTATGACATATTAAACGACATCTGAATATATCTGAAATATAATGTCATGCCCACAATGGAATGACTATTGGCAATAAATAAACGAATCGCATGCCAGTGTTATCAAGAGGTATGTCCTCCAGGTGTGGCTCCTAGCATTATGTCGGGTTATATCAGTCACGACTAATTATCATTGATTATAGACCTATTTTATTGTAGCTATGATTTATGATATTTAACCTTGGTAATGTATTTTAATTAATATATGAGTAATCCAAGATATAGGAATTATTTATTATAAGGTTCTCTTCTCTCGTTATTAATCATACTAATAACACTTGGCAACATATTTTAAAAAGAATCCGTAGCATGGTTGAGAGCAACTTCCTTTTGGTAATTTTGAGTTGCTGATTTCAAATCTGGCAATAAAAATTCTCTGGCACGTACAGTTTATTAGTTATGCAAAAAAAAATTAATTTTACAATAACTGAAAAATTCTATTTTTCCTGTTATTCCTGTTACTTTTTCCACGTCATCACTAAAATTAAATAAAGAATGAAAACAATCATAAGAAGACACAAAAAGTATTACATTAGCCATTGTTTGGGCATTTGTTATTTTATTTATTGTCCTCCGATTGTTGAAACCAGCAATAGTCCTCCACCATGGCAGGATCTCATCTACCCTGGTACCTTTCCTCCAAACGTCTAATGTCCTGGTGAAATCACTCTCCCTGTTCATCACTAACCGCCAACAGATTCTCAGGAAAAAGGTCCAAGTGCAAGTGTAGGAGGTGGACCTTCAGGGACATCCTGCATCCTAAGTTTTTGTAGTTTTTTAAGAGTTCCTCTACAAGTTGGCAATAGTTTTCTTTCTTCTTGTTTCCAAGAAACTCCTAGACTATAAGTGTGAAGGATTTCCATGCAGCTAGCTCATTTCCATTCAGTTTGTTTTCAAAGTCGTCATCTCGAAGTCACTTTCTTATCTGTGGGCCAACAAAGATACCCTTATTGACTTTAGCATCACTGAGCTGTGGGAATTTTCCCCTCAAGTACACGAACCCATCACCTTGTTTGGCCACAGCCTTCACAAAATTCTTCATTAGTCCCAACTTGATGTGTAAAGGAGGTAGAAGTACATCGTTTGGGTCTACCAAAGGAGTATATTTAACGTTGTTTTATCCTGGAACAAACTCTTCTCTCTTTGATCAGTCCTTTGTGTTGTAGTGTTTTTCTGTTGCTCTGTTGTTCCATAAACAAAGAAAACAGCAATATTTCGTGACCCCTCCTTGAAGGCCCAGTAGAAGGGCTATAACCTACAAATCGCCGCTGATCTGCCATCTATACTCCTTGTATTTAATAGCGGTCAGTATTTTCTCCATACTATCATACGTTTCCTTCAAACCTACAGAATTCTCTACTGGAACTGAGGGCTTCTGGTTCCCATTATACAACACTACTGTTTTCAAACTAAACTTGGAGAAATCTATAAAAGCCGCCGTTCCTTTTAGGAAATGTTTTTCTCCCAACTCTGACGTCAGTCCTTCTACATCAGTACACACACAGAGGGAATCCTGTATACTGTAGAATGAAGATAATGTAATATTTTTTTCCCTAAAAACAATTTTTTTTGTTTGTTTCGCTAATAAGTTCCATTCCTGCAGTCTTGGTGCTAAAAGTTCCGTCTGCTGTTTTGACAGACGGAGATCACGTACAAGACCATTAAGTTCACTTTGTTCTATAAGATGTGGTTCATTGGAAGTCTGGTCAATGAAAGGAGGATCATGGGATGATTCTGGGATTTATTCCTCAATTTCCTCATCCGAAGTTGAGAGCTCTTCCAAATCAGCCGGTGGTGTAGGTATAGGGAGGCCTTCTGCGTGAGGAACGGACCTTATTGCCAAAGGTACATTTGGATACTCAATTTGGTGAATTAACACAACCTAGGCGTTGTATTCTCTCTATTCTCCTGTTCAGTATTGCTAACCTTGCATTTAATATATCCCTCCCAACACGTATCTTATATTCCTCCACTACATGTACACATATGTCATAAAAATGTTACGTGACAGACATTTTTTATTGTTATATTTGAAATCAGCCCAAAATTAATAAGGTCCAGCGTATTTGATCCATGTTACCGAACCCCTGTCAACTAGTGTAATTGGTTTATGTGCATAAGAGGGGACAGTAAATAGTCAAGGCTTCACCACTATACGCTAACCATACCATCGATGTTGGACAAGAATACGCAGTCGTATTTAGAGCTTCACTGTACTCACCTCCCTGGCCACCATACCCACCATGCCGGTGTAAGACCCATCAGCCTTTTTTCCGCCCCAAGTGTCATCAGAGGGACGAACGAAAGTGTATCTAGGAAGCAACAATGTAAGTAAGTAGTAAGTCTTCATTGTAAATATTCATCCTACATCATTGTAACATTTTAATCAAGAAGGTTGAGGGAGATCTTCGTGGGTCCAACGTGAAATAGGGTCAACTTTACCGTAAGTGTTACTATTGCCATTACTATCATTACTAGTGATATTAAGAATACTTTTTATTGTTATTCTAATAATATTATCATTATGATTAATATTATTACCTTGCCTCTAAATGCACGACAAGTTATTGTATTTGGCCCTGTTTGTGTGTGTACTTATCTCCAAAATAACTCAAGAGCAAGTTCATGGATTTCCACCACACTAGGTAGTTTTCATCAGTATTTATAATGATCAAAATTATAAATTTCTCGTGGAAATCGCTCTAAAATTTACCAAATAATGTCACGGTAACAGTTTACGATGACATGAAATAGTTCCCAGGAGAGATCGCAATGGCATACAGTAACAGCATCATTAACTCGATATTTACCCTGTTATGGTAACGGTTAACAGAAGATGTTTAATAATTGGTATTATTGTTATTGTTACTGTTGTTATTATTCTTGTCATTATTACTATAAACATTGGTATCATTTGTAGAATTAATATTATTATTGATAGTAGTAGTAACATCAAAAAGTGGTGGGACCTGGTAACATCACATGGTCCACAAGTAGAGTACCACCCAAATGCCAGCAAGTCCTTCCTCATTGTGAAGCCAAAATAACATTAACGGGCAATAGAGGTGTTCAACAGAAGTGCGGTCAAAATAACTAAAGACAACCAAAGACATCTACTGTCGGTGCGGTAATCGGCATGAACGACTTCAAAACCGAGTAAGTAACAGGAAAGGTAAATGAGAGGGTGAAGGAAATCCAAGTTCTGTCTGATAATGCTAAAACGGGGCCACATGCGGTGTTTGCAGCATTCACCCATGGAGTCAAGCATCGCTGGAACTACCTGATGCGCACTATCCCTGATATCGGATCCCTCCTCAGCCTTCTGGAAGAAGCCATCAGCGTCATTTTTATTCCAACAATAGTGAAACATTTTCACTTAACCCCAGCAGAAAGGTCACTCCGTGCACTACCACCGAGACAGGGAAGAATGGGAATGACCAATCTAGAGGAGCTTGCTGCCACTGTACATCAGAACTGCCAAACTCACGGCAGCCCTCACTGAGCACATAACAGCTCAGAATGCAGCAAGTGAATTAAACAAGATTTGACGGTCCATAAGGACAGAACGACAGCACAAGTCTTTGCTTTCTAAACCTCCCTCTTATGGTTTCTCTCTTTCACTTTGTTTTCTAATCTCGAGCTTCCTTGAGAACCGATCCATGACAGTTGTTGTCGAGGGATCGATCTCTCACTCTTTCTCTACCAATAGTGGTGTCCCACAGGGTTTTGTTCTTTCACCTACTCTCTTCCTTCTTTTTATCAATGATTTACTTCACACTACGACTAATTCTATCCATTCTTACGCTGATGATTCTACTCTTCACTCTTCTTCACATTTGCCCCTTCCCCCTAACTCTCAAACTAGATCTGTTTCTAGAGTTGATATCATTACATCTATCAGTGCGGATCTGTGCAGCATTTCCGAATGGTGAGGTAGAAACTTGGTTAAATTCAAGAGTAATAAAACACAGTATTTACCAATTACACTTTCCAAATTAGATGATCTCCCATCAATCACATTTCAGGACGCTATCATTCTGCCAAATTCTAAAATAGATATGCTAGGCCTTACATGTAATGGAAGTCACACATCCTCAACATTGCTAAAGCTGCCTCCCGAAAGCTGGGAATGCTGTACAGGTGCCGTAGCTACTTCGCTCCTAAGAGTTACTTCAAGTATACAAGGGATTCATTCGTCCTAACTTGGAGTACTGTTCTCATGTCTGGGGTGGCTCTTCTTCTGTCCAACTGTTAGATAGGGTGGAATCAAAGGCATTTCGTTTTATTAACTCTCCTCCTTTAGTTGATAGTCTTTCTTCCCTTTCTCTTCACCGCAATGTTGCTTCACTCTCTCTCTTTTACAGTTACTTTAACAAGTAATGTTCGGTGGATTTGGCATCCTGTGTACCGCCGGCAAGGCTCGTAACACTCGTCTTCTCTGCGGTGCCCACCGTTTCTCTGTGGATGTCGGTCACACTAGATGACTAGATTAACCCGTTATAGTACAATGTACTATAACGGGTTAATCTAGTATGTACTATTAGGATGTACATCAAGGATGTACTATTAGTACATCCTTGTTTCCTCACACAGCCTAACTGTGGAATGCTATGCCTTCTCCTGTGTTTCTACACTCATACAATCTGTCCCACTCCGTGGTGTAGATTAATATAATCTTTTTCTTTTCTATTTTTAATTTCTTTATTCTCTTATTTTTTCGCCTCTTAGGCTCCGTTATGGGTCGATGACCTGTGTCCGAGTGAGCTATTCCCCGTATAAGAAAAAGGGATAAACTGCAACAACAGATGCAACAATTTTGTCAGAGAACTTGAAAAAAGGATAGTAGCTATAGCGCAAGAGGTGGGCGCCTCGAATTGGCTAACAACGTTACCTTGTCCTTGTTTTAAGGATATCTGGCCACTTCGCCTTTAGGCTATTTCGGCCGAAGCTGTTTTTTTCCTGAGTCGTTTTCTTTGGACTTCTTCCTTTTGTTCTTTTTGCTTTTCAATTTCCATTCTTCTTCTTGGTCTTGCTCTGGTATATTCTCGTAAAAGTCTAAAAACGCTGATAATTTTAATGTTACTAAATCTGGCTTTTTTGTCTTTTCTTCGGTCTTGTTTAATTCTGGCTTCTATTCTGTGGTCTTGGGGTCTTGATTTTTCTTTTCTGTGGTCTTGTTGGGGTCTTGATTCTTCTTTTCTTCGGTCTTCGCTACAAGAAGAGCCTCCTTGTAGCTCAGTTTTTTCTTGCTTCGCAGCTTAGCCACCCTACACTCCTCCCTCCACTTGGGACACTCCCGGTCGGAGGAGGAGTGAGGGCCACCACAAGCTGCGTATTTCTAGGCGGCCACCGAGCAGTTGGTGTGCTGGTGCCCGGGTGTCCCGCAACTGCAACAGACCTCCCGAGCTCGACACTTCCCTGCCAGATGGCCTTACCTCTGGCATTTGTAACACCTTGTTGGTCTTCTTTCATACGGTCTTACTGGGATGTTCTCCCATCCCAGCAATACGGTGCTTGGTAGATTCTTTGGGTAACCAAACATTGCAGTTAGGCTGGTCAGCTTCCATACTATTGAGAGCTTGTCTCCGATCAGCTCGGCCAGTTCTTCTTTTTCAAGGTGTGGGAGATGACTCCTAACACCAAGTTATCCTCTGTGCGAGCTTCCACTAGTATCATGATCCCGTTAATTTCTGTTCTGTTGGCTATTTGCTGGGCCTGTCCCCATTCCGCGAAGGTGACGATAAGGCCACCACTCACTGGTCTGCGGACGACCCTTGTCACCCCTCTCATTCCTAAGGATTCAAAAAATTTCCTAAGGACAAGGAGGTTTAGTTGCTTGTGCGAAGGGCATGTGACTGGGTACAGTCTTACGACCTTCGCCTGGTCACAGGTCAGCCTCATCGTCATGTTCACGTAGTACCTCGGGAGCAGAAAAGATCTTGCCTCGCTGAGGTGCAGTTCTCAGTCCAACGTTACCGATAAGGACAAAAGGCTTCAGTCTTAATAAACAAGAATTTACGTATGCCATTGCTCTAGGGTATGATTGGGCAGTAGTAGGTTTGTCCACCCAATGCATGTGTGGTTCATCCGATGACTTCGACCACACCATGGTGTGCTTGGGGCATCACGGCAAAAAATCTAAAGGAAATCTGACACAATGTCACGCTGGAGCCGACTCTACTTCCATTGGACGGTGAGAATCTCTGTCACATGACTTCCAAAACATCCAACGAAGCCCATGTGGACGTCAGCGCCCGAGGATTTTGGCCACGGGGATAGCAAGCCTTTTTCAACATCAGGATTTTCGACCACATGGCGACATGTCACTGTAACCTATCTCTCAATGTTGCACACAAGAGGAACGAGAGTGACAAGAACAGGGTGTAAACAAAAATAATTCAAAATGTGGATCAAGACAACATCACTCATCTGATGTTCCCAACCTCTGGTAGCATGGGACCAAGTGCAAGATGCTTCTACACAAGACTGGCCGAGGTATTATCTGAACAGAAGCAGCACCCCAGAAGTTACGTTGCAGCCTGGTTGAGATGTCGACAGTCCTCTCTGTTTAGATCTGCATTGCTTTGCCTCAGGAGAATGATATCTTCGACTTCAACGCCAACAACAGTCGCAGATATTGACTATAAGGCAACAATCACTGAATCCCGTATAGACCTGCGGTTTAACCAACTCAGTTGGGGTAGCTAATTTTATATTAGGATATATAATATTAAGGTAATAAAATAGTGGCGAAGGTGTTGCTATTGGGGGAGGCTGGAGGCCACGTTTGTAATAAAAAATAAGTAGTGGTGGTAGTAGTAGTAACATAGCACTACTAGTATTAGTATAAGTAATAGTTGTATAGTGTTATAATCGTTAACAATGTTTTATCTCTATCTTATTACAGTATGACTATTTACATCATCTTTTTTAGCATTCACCATTTCATCTAAAACTCCCATGAATTAATGAGTTTATACGACCACCCAACAGTAAGTTGATGGTGACGGATTCTGAGTCACAACTCACGAAAAGTTTAAACTGATGGAAAGGTAGTCGAGAATATTGGCGAAACTGCCGGCATACTTAAGCTTCTCTTCCCCGACATCCTTCTTCACGGCCCGGAACTTCTCTGTCGCCACCACGAGGTTTGGTCTGTGAGGAAACCTGTCAAGAGTATTTGATGTTTATTGGTCTATGAGGGAGCTTGTCAGAAAAGATTCTAAGTTTATTGGTGGATGATGGAAGTAGGCAAGGATAAGTAAATGTTTATTGGTGGATGATGGAAGTAGGCAAGGATAGGTAAATGTTTATTGGTGGATGATGGAAGTAGGCAAGGATAAGTAAATGTTTATTGGTGGATGATGGATTGGTGGATGATGGAAGTAGGCAAGGATAAGTAAATGTTTATTGGTGGATGATGGAAGTAGGCAAGGATAAGTAAATGTTTATTGGTGGATGATGGAAGTAGGCAAGGATAGGTAAATGTTTATTGGTGGATGATGGAAGTAGGCAAGGATAAGTAAATGTTTATTGGTGGATGATGGAAGTAGGCAAGGATAGGTAAATGTTTATTGGTGGATGATGGAAGTAGGCAAGGATAAGTAAATGTTTATTGGTCTGAAAGCGATTCCTGTCAAGAGGATCTGAATGATTATCTGTCAGGATATATGTTAGGACTTAGGCAATATTTATTGGTCAGTAAAGAACGTCTCAAGGTATAGTAGACTATAAATATAACACCAACTTCAAAGACACATTAAACTAAAACCTAATACTGAATGGTGGGAGGAGTTCTGTTGCAAGGTTTAATATCACAAACTCTTCCATAACGATATCAAGGCAATCACCGACTCATTGGCATAATGTGAAAGAATTTTAAATAATAATACATAACATACAATCTGTCGACTTTCAAAAGTTCATGAAAGCCGGTTTAATGAAGAATGTACGGTCTCCTTGATGACCATGTGTATACATCAGGACCTAGATTACAGTCAAACAAGTATGGGTGGTCACCGCACATTAAATTGGGGTACTACAAACAGGGCCGGATTTACCTACTTGTGGGCCCCCAAATTTATAGAAATGTTTGCATGTTTCAATAATCTATATATATATATATATATATATATATATATATATATATATATATATATATATATATATATATATATATATATATATATATATTTTACTGTAATTATTTTGCAATGGCCAAATGTCATCAAATATTACATAATATCATAATATTATAATGTAAGAAATAAGAATTTTAACACAATGTGACACATCATTACTTTTAATCAAATTAGTTCTATATCATGTACATCTTATATATGGGAATAATGAAAGAAATACAATTAACTTGAAGCATAATCAATTTTGCAAACACATGAAGTACAGCAAACTGTGTGAATTTCAAAATAAATTCTTCCTACGTTTTTTCATGGAAAATTTGGCAATGATACTGTTTGTGTCAAGGGATTGTAGGAGGCCAGATTCAATGCATAATAATGAAAGTAAGTTTAATCTGGTTTGTCCCATGGTAGGCCTCAGGTGATTTTTCACCCTAGATAGAGTAGAGAAAGACCTCTCTCCTTCACAATTTGTAATGGGGATGGTAAGGAAAATTCTTACCAAGGTACTAATGTTGGGAAAGGCAGTTGTCAAAATACCATCTTTGGACCTCAGCAAAGTGGAGATGTTTGTCACTGACCTGTCAGATTCAGAAGACAAAATGTCTTTAAATTGCAAAAAATCATCTAGAACAGATGCTTCCAGGTCACTGGAATAGGTACTGACAACCAATTCCAGTTGGGCTTTGAGATCATCATATTTCATTCTGTCATACTCCGTTAAGAAGCTAAACAGCTTCTTTATTTCTGAGTAGGCATTCACTCTGTGCTCTAATTCATTTCTAAGGCAATCTAATATGGTGTAGAAATTGTCCACCTTGAACTTCTCACGTGGATCAAGTTGAGTTTCAGTGCCAACTGATTCATCAAAGAAAAGTTTTTCTTTTTTGTTCTTTGTGTTGTCTCAGTGTAGACAGGCTCAGCAAAAGCCCTAGCCTGATCTTCTATTTCATCAAACTGACCCTGTCTCATTTCTGAGACGAAGGAGATCAAACTCTCATACAGTTTCACAACTGACAGAAGGTCGGTCTCAACTTTTTGAAGTGATAAGCTGGTTGCATTAGACCTTGTTAAGATTTTATACCATATTACAGTAAGAAGTGCTGTTTCAAATGCTTCCATTTGTCTTATGAGGCCTTCACATTCAAGCTTTGTAGCCACAGTTTGTCTACTGTCAGAACATATGTTCTCCAGTGCTGACTTTATCTCAAGGTAATGTAAAAACACTGCTTTAACAGCATCAGCCCTCGCATCCAGCGAGTTTCTGAAAGGGATTTCACTACGATCCCTTCAGCAGGTAGTGCAGCTTTCAAGTGATCCCATCTATATGTGGAGGCTGAGAAGAAGTTGTATAAGGCTTGCAAAAATCTGGAATATGAAACAGACCCAAGGCAACTGCTGGCAGCTGATGTTCCTACAAGGTTCAAAGAGTGACCTGCACAAGGGACATAATATGCCAGGGGATTCATAGCCTTTATTCTGGCTTGGAGACCAGTGTAAATGCCTGACATATTGGCAGCAGTGTCATAACTCTGCCCTCTCAGGTCACTCAAATCAAGACCAACATCTTTAATTAACTGTACAACAGTTGAGGCTATGCTCTCTGCACCATGATCATGTATGTCTATGAACTTTAGAAATCGCTCAACAGGTTTGCCATCAGGTTTGACATAACGAACTATGAATGTAAGTTGGTCAGTATGACTAACATCCGGTGTGGAATCTACACTAACTGAATAACATTTGGCTTGTTTCACTTCACTTATGATAATTGAGTGAATTTCTTCAGCCATTAGATTGACCATTTCCTCACAAATCGTTTTTGAGAGATATGAAGTCTTTCCACTACCTACAGCACCATACTTCTCCAGATGCTGTGCAAGAAAAGGGTCAAATTTTGCCAGGAGTTCCATTACTCCAAGGTAATTCCCATTGTTGCTAGAGCCTATTCTTTCATCACTACCTCTGAGAGGAAGACCTCTTGATGTTAAAAATTTTAGTGTTTCAACTATGCGCAATAGAACATCTTTCCAGTATTTTCTCTCCAATTCTACTTACAAAGCCAAAGTGGAATCAATTCGCCTTGCTGTAATTTCCCTCACACCACAAGTAGTACCTGAGATTTTATGCTCTTTGCTACTTTCATGTTCAGCAACTCTACGCTGCCAGTTTTTCCAGCTTTGGAACTGATTGCAGTTGTGCAGCTTTGGCTGCTTTTAACTTTCTCTTTTGTGAGTCACTCAGATATTTTTTCAGGGACAACATATTTATCTCATGAGAATCCCCAAGAATAATCTGTAAGCAAAAAAATAGTGTAAGTCTATAAGAGATGCCAATATCACAAAAAATAGACATAAAAACACACGTAATATAACACTGAAGTCCATTTAATGCAACATGTAAAATATTATTAGTAAATAATGAGTGCCGCTACACAATATAAAATATCACTGAGCTGAGGCTGAGAAGATACTGACTGGCTGAGCGAGCTGTCAGCAAACCAACGGTAACCCTGACACGTACTGAACGTGAAACGATCCTGTCCTTCACACGTCAAGGTGCTGAAGGTTTCTTGAAGTTTATTCTCTCTCTCTCTCTCTCTCTCTCTCTCTCTCTCTCTCTCTCTCTCTCCATGCATAGATAGATAGATAAATAGATAGATAGAGCGATGATGGGACACGGACAATTAAAAAATGTATATACATTTTATTTTATTATCTTATTTTATCTTATTTTCTTCATTTTACTATAGGGCCCAGTCCGTGGCCCACCCCATGGCCCACCAGTTGAAGACCACTGCTGTCCTATACTTAATGTACAGGGGCCCCATACTCCGGGCCCTATACTTATTGTACAGGGGCCCACATGATTGTGAATGTATTATATAATGAAATACTCGGTGTACACTTGAAACAAGGTTATACGCTGGCACGCTGCGCGACAAATTAGTTTCAGTGGACCCCCAGATACCGGTGGGACCTAGGCCAATGGCCTACTTAGCCTATTGGTAAATCCGGCCCTGACTACAAAGTACATAACAGTACAGATACTCGCCGATGGAATTTGTCAGGGAAGAGCGGGAGGTTGATGGTGAGAAAAATGCCTCTTTGGGAAGTCCAGGAAGCAATTAACAACCCCTGATCATCCGGCAAGCTGTATGGTAATTTCATGTACACGCTGGACCTGTGAATGAACTTGAATTCAATAGCGGAAAAAACAGTTCCACTCAATATTCCATTCGTTCACTTGTTAAATTTCTTAAAATATTATTACGCTTTTTCTTAATCCTACCTAAGATATTCCGAAGAATCCTTGATGATGAGCAACATGGAGTTGGTCACGGAGAGTAACTTGTGTAGGGGATGGAGGCGCGAGAGGGGCAGGCGGGTGACAACTAGGAGCCTCGTCGACCACACCAGGAGGCGGCCCTTGAGGGACCACTCGGCGAACATGGCGAGGAATGTTGGGTCGTCGCTCACCACCACCACCGTCACGCACCATGACACCTGCCGCAGCTGTTGACGTCAACATGGTAGAAGTTTTGTGAGAGTGATCTACCCGCCTCAGTAATAATGTGAGACTGACCTTCCTGTCTCAGCAATAGAGATGCGGGTGTTGCGGATAGCTTAGGATAAGAGTTATATATTATATAAATATTTTATCACACATATCACGCCGACTCAAGTCCCTCGGAGTTCCTGCACACGAGCTCCTCAGTGTTTACACAACATTCATACTTCCCAAGCTCACCTATGCCTCCCCCACCTGGTCTTCCTCCCTAAATGCCACACAACGTAAACACCTAGAAAAAGTGCAAAAGAGGGCATGCAAGATTATTCTCTCCCCTTCCTACTCCACATATCAAGAAGCGCTCAACACACTGACCCTTTCGACTCTCACTGACCATCACCACGACCTCATCTGCAGATTTGGTAAGAAGCTTCTGCACCATCCTCGACACCGGCTCCTACTACCACCTGAGATCCCTTGTCCGAGAATTGCTGTTCGACACCACAACCGCATCCAGCCCATACGTGCACGAACTGATCGCTATAAGAACAGTCCAGTCCCAACCATTGTAAAAATTATCAATAACTTGTAATAAATCAGTGTATTCACTCCCAGTAAACAATGCTCCTTACACTGTCACTATGTTGAAATGAACTGTAGTTTGAGCTTTTCCACATCTAGTTATTATATGTCTTATTTGTGTCACTTATGTTACTTGTATATTATTTGTAATTCGTAACCCATTCCCCAAATATGTAACTGTATATTTTCAGCCTTCTGGCTGCCAAGCTCTTTCAATAAACCGTTAATTATTATTATTATTATTATTATTACATACACATTAAAGTGACACCCATGACTCTCAGGGCTTTGGGAACCAGATTTCAGCATCGATAATTAATATAGTTATCTCTTCTTGTTCCATTTATACCTGACTTTAGTGGAGAGTGGATAGACGGTGCTAAGGGTGATGGACCAACAGGATGAAAGTAGAAATATTCGCATCTTCTTATCATTTGCACAACTCTCTCGCTCTCCCGCTCTTTCTCCCATGTTTAAACGTTTTCCCACTTTCTCTTACGTGACAGCTACATATTCGTTAACCCAAAGAGTCTTGCCAACGTATTCTCAAGTTTCTAAGAGTCTTGGGGCACACGTCGTGGGGTGCTGACTGAGGAACTCTGCTATACCATTACCATATGCTAGGTAGACCCAAACTGGATTATGGGTGTGAAGATGTACTCCTCAGCCACTGAGGCTAGACTCAGTACACTGAACTCTATTCACAATGCTAGAGTGCGCCTGGCGACCGGTGCTATAACGTCCTCGCCAATCCCGAGTTTACTGGTTGATGCTGATGAGCCACCCTTTGAAATTCGACGCCAGTATCTCCAGGTTCAGAGTTTGTCTCGTCTCCTGGTGGAGTACCCCAGTCTTAGAGATTTTCATCGAAAGCAAGTCTCCAAGTGCCAGGGGGAGACGGGTCTTACCGTGTCTCTTTGGTGCTGGGGGAGTGAGTAGGTGCCGCGGGAGGTGACCTCTTTCGTAGAGGAAACTGGTCTTCTACACAAACTTTGAGCTTTATCTATTAACGACTAAATATTTGTGAAGCAAGAACTATGCTATTTATTATTAATGTTTGGTTTTTGTTTTACCTTGCATTATTTGTTTTAACCTTCTAAGCTTTAATTTAATTCGGCGGCATATGACCTAAGCTGTTGCTTCGCCAGGGATGTACTCGTAATTACCACAATCAGATCAATCAATGACTCTGAAAGAAACGCACTTTCACTGTTCACGAAAAGGGGTTACTTCTCACTTAGACAACTCCCATAAATACATAATTCAAGAATATAAACTAACCTAGACTAGAATTCAGGATAACACCAAAAATGGTGTTTTTGAAGATTAGTAGGGTCACTACCTAGTGACCTGACCATTGTGGACTTGATCTCACCCTCCTCTACTGTATATATACACCTTGATTTGTATTACTCTCTCTAGTCTGTACTCACCCCTGAAGATGTGAATTACACGAAAGCGCTCGGGAACTTCGTGTTTTCTTTTTTCCTTGTGGTTATCAGCATATACCTAGATCACGCGCACCTACAGGTAAAGTGTGGTCTCCCTCTGTGGGTACATTGTGTGAGGTCACCAGGTAAAGTGTGGTCTCCCTCTGTGGGTACATTGTGTGAGGTCACCAGGTAAAGTGTGGTCTCCCTCTGTGGGTACATTGTGTGAGGTCACCAGGTAAAGTGTGGTCTCCCTCTGTGGGTACATTGTGTGAGGTCACCGCACATGAGGACATTTAATTAACCCCCCAAACGTAATGCCCCCTTCTCTAAGCTGCATTTTCAACCTTTCAAAGTTTGCTCTGAAATCTGGGACTTTGATGTGATTTTCCTTGCGACTGATATTAAGTTCTACTTTGAATCTCACTTCTTTGTGATCGATGTTAGCTAGTTCGTTCCCTACCTCGACTTTACTAATGAGGTTTTCTCTTTTTGACAGAACTATATCTAGTATATCATTACCCCGAGTAGGTTCGGCTGTATGTTGACTTGGGAAACAGTCCTGAACTGTTACAAGAAAATCCTCTGATTCTGAGTTATCCGGAAGGTCTGTCCAATCTATTTGACTAAAGTTAAAATCGCCTATCCAAATTGTTTCTGTATTCAGTTCAGCTTTTTATTTCCTTATTGATTTCACACTTCAGATTATCCCTGACATAGATTGCTAGCCCCTCTTCCTTTCCTAATTTGCCTGCCGGTATGGAACAATTTGTAACCTTTAATTAGCTATTCGACAGGTAACTCATATGAGTCTAAGTTTATCCATGTTTCAGTGAATGCAATTAAATCAAAATTTTTCGGTACATACCAACGATTTCGTCCATTTTGTTTCTCATACTTTTATTGTTTGAGTAGTAGACATTTAAGATAGGTTTTAACTCCCTGCCTAATTTAGTTTTGTCATCATTCCTAGCACTAGTTCTCTGTAACTTTTCATTTTGTTTGCTCCCACTGTAGTCTTCTCAATCCCCATGTTCACATGTTCCCCAAGCACTTTAAAGACTTCGACATCATGTAAACTGCCGTCTCGAGAAAGCCAGCCAAGGTTGCCAACCCATCCCAAGACAAATGCACCCCATCCCTAGACAAATGCACCCCATCCCTAGCATAAGGGTCCCCTCTGCCGTAAAAGTTGTCCCAATTGTCAATGAATGGGATTGATATTGACTTGCAATATCTATCACGACGGCCGTTAACACCAACTGCCCTTGACAACCATTCATTGCCAACTCTCCTTCTAGACAGTCTATGTGTATGTTGGGGGAGGGAGAGGAGGAGGGTATTTTGGGGGGAGTGGATGTTGGAGAGTGTATTTTGGAGGGGAAAAGAAGGAGGTGGAGGGTGTTTTGTAGGGAAAAGGAAGGAGGAGGAGGGTGATTTGCAGAGGGGGCGGAGGGAGAGGAGTATTTTGGAGGGGGTATTTTAGAGGGGAAATGAAGGAGGAGGAGGATGGTTCTTCTTAGAAGCGAAAAGGTGGGGGGGAGGTCTCTGTGTTGTGTGGGAGGGGGAAGGGTCTTTTTTTGAGAGGAGAAGAGAGAGGGGGAGGTCTTTATGTGTTGTGGGAGGTAGGGAGAGGGTTTTTTCGCGGGAAGAGGAGGGTGGGGGAGTGGTCTTTGGAGTGATGGAAAGCGAGGGGAGAGGGGGGAGCTGATTTTTTTTGGGGGGGGGAAACGCCGGGTAGCCTCACATATACGCCGGGTAGCTTCACGTATACGGCGGGTAGCTTTAAATATACGCTGGGTAGCTTCAAATATACGGCAGGGAGCTTCAAATATACGCTGGGTAGCTTCAAATATACGGCGGGTAGCTTCAAATATACGCTGGGTAGCTTCAAATATACGGCGGGTAGCTTCAAATATACGCTGGGTAGCTTCAAATATATGGCGGGGAGCTTCAAATATACGCCTGGTAGCTTCAAATATACGGCGGGTAGCTTCAAATATACGCTGGGTAGCTTCAAATATACGCTGGGTAGCTTCAAATATACGGCGGGTAGCTTCAAATATACGCCGGGTAGCTTCAAATGTAGGTTGGACAGATATATGAGCGATGGGGGTTGGGTGTAAACAGGGCTGCCTAGTATGGGTCAATAAGCCCGCTGCAGTTTCCCCCCATTCTTATGTTCTTATGTTCTTAACATACATGATAGGGATCCCTCCCTTAACCCAAATACTTTCGATGGCTGTCTTGAATTTATCAAGGAGCTCCTCACTCCTACACCGGCCAATATCATTGTCTCCTACACTGAGGCAGCTAATGGGTTTGTTCCCATTACCAGATAAGATATTGTCCACCCTGTCACCTATATCCCCCACCGCAGCTCCTGGCAATCACACCTTCATTCTATTTCTATTTTTGGCACAAAAAGCTCTACCCAGGTACAGTACCTGGAAATCACTAACAATTAAGGTTTTCGTACCTTCCTTGTCAGCCTTGTCCTGATCTATGTTACCATCCAATTCGTCTACCAAAAGGCTAAAAAAGTTACTATACTGAGCCGTAGTCTTTTCCTTGTCTTTCTTCACCACCAGTTTGGTCGTTCTTCTTCTCATAACCTTCTAGTGGCCTATGTTTTCGCCAGACTCTCGCTCTCTCGTGTCTTCCTCTTTCATCCTTCTTAATCACTTCATGAATTTTCAAGTTTTCGTCCTTCACCTTCACTAACTCGGCCCTCAGAAGGACACAGAGCTGTTCACAGTTATTACTAGCCATTTCACTGACGGTTAATGCCCGGGAGCTAAAATCGTCATTGAACTTTCCTCTAGTGAGGTCAGCGAGGAATGACAGTGATTTTTTACCTGCTTCAGCAGTAAAGTGAGAGTGACCTACCCACCGGAGTAGTAATGTAAGAGTAACTTACCCGCCTCAGTAGTAATATAAGAGTGACTACCCGCCTCAGTTGTAATGTGAGAGTGACTTACCCGCCTCAGTAGTAATGTGAAAGACCTACCCGCCTGAGTTGTAATGTGAAAGTAATCTACCCGCCTCAGTAGTAATGTGAGAATGACCTACCCACCTCAGTAGTAATGTGAGAGTGACCTACCCGCCTCAGTAGTAATGTGAAAGTGACCTACCCGCCTCAGGAGGGATGGTGTGGAAAAAGGCACTGAAGCCTCAGGGAGGTGCAGGCCCTTCATGTCTGGATGCAAACGGTTGGAGAGTCATCCTCAGCACTAACAAGTTTGGCCCCGTAGCAAGTGATCTCTGCACGGCCATTGCCGTCCTCGCAAGAAAGCTGGCATCCTCGTGCTGCCAGCACCTCCATGCTCTGACGGCCTGCCGCCTCATTCCCCTTTATAAGAATCCAGGATGTAGGCCAATAGGAGTGTGGGAAGTGCTGAGGCGGATCATCGGAAAATGCATAATGGAAGTGGAAAAAGATGATTTCAGGGCAGCAGCAGGGAACCTGCAAGTTTGTGCTGGCCATCAAGCTGGAGGGGAAGCTGCCATTCACGTCATGAGAACGATATTTGAGCAGCGTGATTGTGAGGCCGTTTTACATAAGAACATAAGAAAATAAGGAGTCTGCAATAGGCCGGTTGGCCTGTGCATGGCAGCTCCTGTCGAGAGTTACTACCACTCTCTATCATCCATGAATCTATCTAGCCTCCTTTTGAAACTTTCCAGAGTTCCCGCACTTACTACAAAGTTGCTAAACTTGTTCCACTCGTCCACCACCCTATTTGTGAACCAGTTTCTTCCTATCTCCCTCCTAAACCTAAACTTATCCAACTTGAATCCGTTGCTCCGAGTCCTATCTTGCTCAGATATTATAAGAACTTTATCTATATCCCCTTTATTGATTCCTTTCACCCACTTAAATACTTCTATCATATCTCCCCGCACTCTTCGTCTTTCTAGGGAATGCAAGTTAAGTTTCTTTAACCTATCCTGATATGGAAGGTTTCTAAGTCCCGGAATCATTTTTGTCATTCTTCGCTGCACCAACTCTCGTGAATTTATATCCATTCTATAATAGGGGCACCAGAACTGAACCGCATAATCGAGGTGCGGCCTGACTAGCGCAAGATATAGTTGCAATAAGACCTCTGCACTCTTGTTACTTACACTTCTAGATATAAAACCCAATACTCTGTTTGCCTTATTTCGAACATTAACGCACTGTTTTCTAGGCCGTAAGTCCGGGCTTACAAGTACCCCTAGGTCTCTTTCACAAGTCCAAGCATTGCAATGTATGTTGAAACTCCTATAGGAATCCATCAGACCTTTATATAGTAAACAACAAGGCTCTAAGAGGTGATACCATCATACAGTCAACACAGGGAACAACGCAGGGGGACCCTGTTGCAATGGCAATGTATACAATAGGCCTATCCGTGCTCCAACACACAATATAATTTGAAACAACTGAGGTCAAGCAAGTGTTGTACGCTGATGACCTTACAGGAGCAGGAAAAGTGGAGGACATCAAAAAGTGGTGGGACTTGATAACATCACGAGGCCCACAAATAGGGTACCACCAAACGCCAGCAAATCCTTCCTCATTGTGAAGCCAAAACATTATGAACGGGCAATGGAGGTGTTCGTTGGAAGTGAGGTCAAAATAACAAAGGATGGCCAAAGACACCTAGGCGCAGCAATTGGCATGACGGACTTCAAGACCGAGTATGTAACGGGAAAGGTGAATCAATGGGTTAGGGAAATCCAAGCTCTGTCTGAGATTGCTAACACAGAGCCACATGCGGCTTTTGCTGCATTCACCCATGGAGTCAAGCATCGCTGGAATTACCTGATGTGCAATATCCCTGATATCGATCCCTCCTCCACCCTCTGGAAGAATCTATCAGCGTCAATTTCATTCCCAAATTAGTGAAACACCCTCACTTAACCCCAGCAGAAAGATCACTCCTTGCACTACCACCGAGACCGGGAGGAATGGGACTGACCTATCCAGAGGAGATTGCTGCCATCGAACATCAAAACTCAGTTAAGCTCACGGCAGCCCTCACGGACCAGATAATAGCTCAAAACGCAGCCAGGGAGGTAGATACCAGTGAAGCAAACAAGATTCGAAGGTCCATTACGACAGAACGACAGCTCAGCCAAAGTGATAAGATGCAAAAATTGTTGCTGCAAGTACCAGAGAATTTGAAGAAAAAAGTAGCTATAGCGCAGGAAGTGGGCGCCTCGAACTGGTTAACTACGTTACCAATAAGGGCAAATGCTTTCAGTCTCAATAAACAAGAATATACAGATGTCAATGCTCTAAGGAACGGTAGGCTAGTAGAAGGTTTGCCCTCCCAATGCGTGTTTGGCTCTTCCTATGACCTCGATCACGCTATGGTGTGCATGAGGCATGACGGAGTAAGGGATCTCACAACAAATAGGTTGAAGGAAATCTGCCTTGATGTCAGGGTAGAACCGACCCTCCTTCCATTGGACGATGAGATCTTCCAACATAGGACTTCTAACACATCCATTGAAGCCCGTGTTGACGTCAGTGCTCGAGGATTCTGGACATGGGGGCAGCTAGCCTTCTTCAACATCAGAATTTTGATCCCATGGCCGCATGTCACCGTAACTTAGCTCTCGATGCTGCACACAGGAGGAACGAGAACGACAAGAAAAGGGCATACGGGGAGAGAATTAGGAACGTTGATCAAGGCAGCTTCACTCCTCTAGTGTTCACAACCTCTGGTGGGATGGGACTAAGTGCAAGATGTTTCTACGCCAGATTAGCGGAGGTGGACTCCGAACAGATGCAGTAGCCCAGAAGTTATGTTACAGCCTGGATGAGATGTCGACTGTCATTCTCTTTTCTTCGTTCGGCTTTGCTCTGCCTCAGGGGAACGAGAGCATCGGCCCCAAAGCAAACAACAATTGCAGATATTTACTATGAGGCAACAGTCACTGAATGCCGCATAGATCTGCGGATCAACTAACTCAACACAGCTAGGATAGCTACTTATGTATTTGGATATTTAATATTAAGGTAATAAAATGGTGGCGAAGGTGTAGCTATTGGGGGAGGCTGGAGGCCATTATAAAAAAGAAAAAGAAAAATGTGAGTGACCAACCCGCCTCAGTAGCAATGTGAGAGTGACCTACCCGCCGAGCCTCGTCGACCACCCGGGAGAGCTTCGCCTGAGTCATGTTAGCGTCCTGGCCGTCCACTGCCACCTCGAACACCGCCACACCCCAGGAGGCCGGGAGTCTTCCCAGTTCCTGTAATAAATATATGCTAAAATTAGTTAATAATAATTGTTGCCTCAATATATCATAAATGACCAACACTGAAAAAAACCTTAATGTCCTAACAGATAAAAAAGCTATTTTAAAAAACTATAAATATAGTATATAGTTATTCATAAGGCAAGGTCCTGATTGTCTTTTCAAGCATTATCATGTATTACCTTATCGACAGTCGAGGTGAAGGTGCTGCCGTCAATGAAAAGGAAGACACTGAGATGTGGATCCGAAAAAGTTGACAAAACTGCGTCTGCTACCCCAGACAACAATGGCAGTGTCTGTCGTTCAGCTGAGAAGAATAAATATATAATTTTAAATCGGTTTATGAATTTTAGTCTTTCAAGCGAAGCTAAAACTTAAACTACTTACCAATATTTGATAACATTTTTAAGAAAAAATCCTACATTATCAATTACGGGATGCTATATGCATCCTTAACCCAAATTATACATGTGCGTGTGTGTGTGTGTAATAATAATAATAATAATTACTAATAATAATTAACGGTTTATTAAGATACCATGGCAGCCCGAAGGCTGAAAATATACAATGAACAGAGATGATAAGTTACATACGGTGAAATAGGGGAGTGGGTCACTTGATTGACAAAAGTTTTCAGTACAGAAACATAAGAAACATGGAGTCAACATATAGATTAACTGTAGATCTGGTACTATGGGAGCTGGTCTGCAGACATTCTTGTGACCTGATGTCGGCACCAAGCCTGGCTGTTAAGTCGCTACCTCACTACAGCTGCAGATGTACCACAGGTCCTTCAGCTCACACATAGTGTTGGAGATGGTTCTTGTTCCTCATGTGATGTAGCTAGGAATTCATAGTTCCTCACCTGGGTGGAGTAGGGAGTCCTCACTTTTCTCCCGGTGTAGTTTGGAGTCTTTCTTAGCTTCTCATCCAGTGTTGGTGGTGGTGAGTGTACCGCGGGCTGGGTGTATCACGTCAAGGGCCAGGTCAACACTGACCGCTAAGCACAATTGTCACTAACATTTGTTTCTTTCTTTCGAGTGAAGTTCTTACTTCTGTATATCACTTATGGGTTGATCATCAATCTTTGCACTGTACTGTTGGTGTGAGGATGTTGATAAATCCAGATGGGCAGGAGGAGATGGGGAAAGGGAAGGCCCGACAGACCAGGTTGGCAGCTGTCTCCATGGTCAATAGGGTGTGTCATACGGAGGCGAATTTTTTTTTAAGTTTGAAACATCGGCCCATGGTATTAATGATGTAGTTCTATGTGCAGAATCATGTGATATCTTCAGATTTGAAAAGTTTTTATTTTTTGCTAGGTAAATTTTAACTTGAAATCTTATGAAAATTCAGTATTCCAACCCTTTTACCAACACCACTAAATAGTTTATTTAAAGTAAAGTAAATGTATCAGGTTAATTTATTAAGATGAAAATGATCCAGAATAGTGAAACGAATGATCTTGACACATTTATTAAATTTAATATTCCTTTAGAAAACAAAATAATCAAATACAAAAACCGGTTTTACTACTACGACCCGGTGTTGCTGCACACCATAGAGAACATGTCTTTCTTGCTTCTGTTTCTACTCATCACCTCCCTGCTGACCACCTGAGCTCGGATGTAGCCTTCCCTCCTCTCCTGGCTGTACACGTGACTGCTGGCCTCGCTCACTTGCTGTACACAACGCTCTATACTCTGGGTGTGCGAGGGCCAGGCAGGGACATGCATGGGGTTGTCCAGGAAAGCTCTGACTTGAACATTGGTGAGGCTGCAGGTAAGAGGGGGCTCACTGCCAGCCTGGATGTTATCCAGATCTATGAGATCAGTGAGGGTCTTGGCACCTAGATTGACTTCAGGAGTCTTCCTGACCCTGAAGGAATCGTCACCAACTGATTCGTCATGCCCAGATCCTCTCATAAGTCTCATATCCAAGATCTTTTTGACTGCCACTCTTCTCTCCTCCTCATCCTTACTGCAGAGCATTGTCTGCAGAACTGCCTCGGGATGAGCATACCAGGAAGATCTCCTCACAGTCTGCTCCACAATCTGAACAACCTTCCTTGGCTGACTCCTCAGGAGCTCAAGCTGGAAGAGAACATGCCTCGGACCTTCGGAGAACGATGACTTGACCTTGGTGTTGAACCAATTTGGCAAGTAGACACTCACGATGAATTGGACAATAAGTCTCAGGTTGTGAAGCTGGTTCCCTTTCAGTTTATGATGAGCGACCCAAATTCTGCAGAACCTGAGAGCCGTTGTGAGCCACCTAGAATGTGAGACTGGACCTATCTGCAGGTAAGCAAGTCTATCAGGCATGACCCCAGTTTTGATGGCACTGCAAATCATGTAACCATAGTACTGGTCAGTACTCAGGTCGTCAATGACAGTATGTGCAAGCTCAACGAGTGGAGGGCCAACTGTGATTTTTTCAAAGCTCGGGTTTATTTCTAACTCAGTGGCAGAGTCCAGCATCTTGCCAAGAGGACCAGACCATCTGTTGTTTGAAAGAGTCTTGCCATCCAGCTCCTGGATCAGATGTCTGAGTGGCAACTCGTTGGTGTGGAGGTCACAAACAATCCAGACCAGCTTCCTCCCAATCTTCCGCTCTATCCACTGTATGACCCCCCTTGCCACCCTGTGTTCGTGTTGGTGCTGTCCCCTCCAATGGCCTGCAGGGTCTGGTCTACGTTCCTCTCTCTGAGCCAGTTCACAATGTTATCTGCCACTATCTCAGCTGGTTTCCTGATGTCATCTTTCTCTGGAGTGAAATACCACAAATACTTCCCTCCTGGTTCACTGCAGCAGGAGTAGTGTTCCTCCTTCACCATGGCAGGGAACAACTTGTCAGAATCTCCAACTTTCATGAACACTTTAGTGTCATCCTTCTCCCATCAAAGAACAAACAATTGATTCCATTTTCTCTTATCCCCTTATCAAACTCCTCTTCTAGGTTACTGACAAGTTTCTCCTGAGCTCTCCTTACTTTGTTATGATCTATCACCAGGTGAACATCATCAGGTGTTATCAAACCACCGTCAGTCCAGGCAGCTGTTGCTATCTCTGCAGTTTCTCTGAGACCAGTGTGGTGTCGCATGCTGGCCAGAGCTATGCTCGGGATATCTTTCCTATTTCGAATCTTATGCCTGGAAGGTTTGGGATCATTATTTTCTGGGTTAGGGACAAAGTCACCATTCTCCTGGTCAGCACTCGGATCAGCCATGGGGAAGTCATTAAACTCTGAATCAGCTTGACTCCAATCATCGGCCTTTTTTACCTCACCCTGGGCCTTCTCAAGTCTCTTTTCCTCGGCAACTCTTCTCCTCTTCTGTCTCTCTGTGGCAGCCTCCTGTCTCTTGGACTCCGGAATATCTTGGCTAGAAATCATGAGAGCCCCTATACTGCCAGTCTTCTCTCTCTGTGCTTTGAAAATGCCAGTTCGATCACAGGAATCTTCAGTTCACGCTTGCAAATACAGGAGATGTGGGCCTCGGATTTACATTCACGATCGCATCCAAACTCAGGACAGAGAACAATTGGGCACTTGCAAGTAATTATGTCAAATAACTGGTCCAGTTGCTTGGCAAAGCTGTCCTTAACTGCAAGTTTTCCTCTCCCAAGAGAGATATCTCTTGCCTTTTCCCAACTGGCTAGCAGTCTCTCACTAATCTTCTTCTGACTTGTTATGACTGGAGGCTTGAACTGAGCATTAGCCAGAGTGTGCTGTGCAAGACAGCTTTGGTCATATCACTGGCAATGTCTTTGTTTGTGTAAGTTCTTTGGTTCTTTTCACTGATTTGCCTCATTAAAACACCGTATCTCAAAGCATCTCTCAATGTAGGCAACTCCGACTTCAGGAGCTCTCTCCCAGACCCAAGATAGTGACTGAGATGGCTGGATTTTTGGTTCCTCGTCCTGACACAAGCAGCCATCGCAAATATTATCAACTTATAAATGCATCAGAATCTGAAACAGAAAAAATATTGTTAGTTGGGTTGTTAAAGAATGAAGTCAGAAAGCAATGTTCACTATTTAATTGTAATGCACTAATGCAGCTGTACGTTAGATTTTCGATAAATTTCACGCTAAAATTTACCTAGCAAAAGGTTGCAAAATATTGAAACTGAAATTATTTTCTGTTTATATACACTAAAATCTACCAAAAAAGTGATGGGCCATTAGTTTTAGCTGATCTTCCCTCCTATGACACACCCTAATGTTCATATAGCGATCAGTTCGTGCTAGTATGGGCTGGATGCAGTTGTGGTGTCGAACAGCAATTCGAGGACAAGCGAACTTAGAGGAAAGTAGGAGCCGGTGTCGAGGATGGTGCAGAAGATTCTTACCAAATTTGCAGATGAGGTCATGGTGATGGTGAGAGACAGCCGAGAGGGTCAGTGTGTTGAGTGTTTCTTGATATGTGGTGTAAGAAGAGCAGAGAATAATATTGCATGCCCACTTTTGCACTTTTTCTAGGTGTTTACGTTGTGTGGCATTTAGGGGGAAGACCAAGTAGGGGAGGCATAGGTGAGCTTGGGAAGCATGAATGTTGAGTTAACACTGAGGAGCTTGGAGGCAGGAACTCCGACGGATTGTGTCGGCGGAGGAAGTGAAGACGAAAAGTCGAGGATTTGACAACTATACTGACGTGTGTTTTCCAATTTAGTTTTTTATCTATAGTGACGCCGAGGAACTTAGTGGAGTCCACAACCTGGAGTGTGTTGGGGCCCAAAGTTATGGAGGGAGGTGGGACAAGGTCGGAGGAGAGGTTGATGTGCATAACCATGGTCTTCGTATGGTTGATGGTGACGTGGTTGTTAGTGGCCTAATTTTAGAGACTGTTCAATAAATCCTGGAGGGCAGTGTAGTCGGGAGCCGAGTTGTTAACACTGATCCCTAGGGTGGAGTCGTCGACATATTTCCAGCAAGCTGAGGTTTCTCTTAGGGCATCATAGATAAGCTTATAAGCATAAGGAAGCAGAGCGGTCCCATCTTGGTGCCTTGGAGGACGCGGCAGGTGAGAGACTGAAAAGTAGAGATAGCCCCTCGGAAGCGTATGGCTTGGCGTCGGTCAGTAAGGAAGTCTGCAAGCCATGGTATATGACTTGGAGACCTATGGTGTGATGGTCAGCTTCCTTGCGTCGCAAGCGATCGGACCCGGGTTCGATCCCCGGGTAGAGTGAAACTATGGGCAAGTTTCTTTACGCCATTTGCCTCTGTCTGCCCAGCAGTAATTGGAGACCTGAATGTTAATCGATTGGCGGATCATATTCCGGTGTAATGGTTAGCCAACGCAGTTGGCGAGTTGTCTGGTCTTCTCGGACTATTCCTTGACACTGGGTAATGCAACTCGTTAACTTGTTGTGTTGGTAACAGCTTCTACACCTTAAACAGATTCACGTCTAGGTGGCCCTAGGGCCGGCCATCCTCGTACACGAGGGGCAACCATTATTATTATTAAAACTTCTTCGAAACCCGAGGTTGATAGCTTTGATGATGATTAAATTGTGGTCGACTAGATCAAAAACTTTGGTGAGCCAATGAAGGCGACAGCCACAGACGTCTTTAGTTTTTCCAGATGGCAGTATATGTAATCGAGAATGCTGACAAGACAGTGAGTGGTGGAGGAAGTTTTCATATTGCCAAATTGCTGAGGATCTATGGCGGCTGCGATATCAGGAGTAAGCCCAGTCAAGCACGACACTTTCACAGATTTAGCTGAGTATTAGGGTGATGGCAATGGGTCGTAGCTCATTGAAGGATTGTGGGCCGGTTGACTTGGGCACTCGTGATTCATATGAGGTCTTCCAGTCAGCTGGGCATCTTGCTTGTCTGAGGAAAGCATTGATGATGGAGCAGAGGGGTATAGCTAGTTCCGGGGAGAACTCCTCGTAGAATTTCATTGGTAAGTCAATGGGGGTGGTGGAGAGATTAAACTTAAGCTTGTCCAGACGTTTTGCTAGTTCAAATTCTTTTACTAAGTCAGTGGGAAGGGGGACTGGTGGGTAAGCAGCGAGATTGATTGTGTCAACCCTGAGGAGCGTCTGGCATATAGTAGCGAAATGTTGTTTAATTGCTCAACTACGTCACCATTAGTGAGATGGCTAAGGAAAACGAGGGGGTGTGTCTTATTGGTTAGTCCACAGAGTTCTTTAAGCTTACCATACCACTGACTGTTGATGGTCTGCTTCAAATGTTGCAACTTGGTTGGGTAGTGGGACTTCTTTGCAGTATGCATTTCACGGATGACTTGATTGCGAAGGGACCTGTAGCGGTTGTGGTCATTGAGATAAAAGGCTCAGTCCCTCTGTTGCATAAGTCTTTTGATCCGAGGAGTGATCCAGGGCAAGTCAGCTGAGTGTGATATCTAATGGATTTCTCGGGGAAGAAGTGATGGTGAGCTTCCGTGATGGTCGTCGTGCAATTTATCCATTTGGTGTCCACGTCATCCACACTAAGTACTTTAGTCCAGGGTTGGTGAACTATCCACAGTCCCTAGAGACGCACTGCAGAGTCAGTAATCGGCACTTGGCTGGTAATGGCAGCTGGGGATCAGAGCACTGCTAGGTGTGCGCTACAACCGATAGGAAGCATTGGTGGTTGGCACCGGTCCGCTAAGCCAGTTAAGATAAGGTCAAGGGTATTTTGACCGTGTGTGGGGAAGGTCACAACTTGTGATAGTGACAACTGGTCCTGGATATCAGTGGTATCAATTTCGTTATAATCCCCTCATAATACTAACTTGGCACATGGGTACCTAACTCTGAGGTGGTAATGAGGTGATTGATAAGAATGTCTCTGGTGGGTGAGCGAGGTGGATGGTATGCCACACAGTATATGATAGAAGCAGTGTGGCGCGGGTGGTCACGTGGCACAAGTACCCATAATGCCTCCCCATCGGCTGGGACTAAAACATTCAGGTGTGTGTATGTGTGTGTGTGTGTGGTTCAGCCCAGGGTAATCATCTGCCAGAAGCAACAGAACCTGTACCATTGAGGACTATGAAATGGAAGTGTTCAGAGTCAATAAATTCTTAAGCAGAGGCAAGAATTTTTTTCGAAAAAACCCTGACTGGAGGTTAAACATTTGAAGTATCAAAAAAATACATTAAAAATTATAAAACTCTCTCCCTCAAAGACTGTAGAGGGGTAGCAAATAATATGATTCGCCTCAGCACCTACCATGAGGGTGAGGCAGCCGAGCGTCCACCATGAATACTGCCACCATCAACCCCGACGCCACACCCATCATCATCACTGCCGTCCAGTTACAATCTGTTAAGTTAACAAGACATAGAGCCAAATAAATACATTAATCTCTTTAATTTCAAATAACTATTAAATTTATTAATATCTCGTGTATATTAAAATCAACAATATGTTTAGAGAAAAGGTTAAGAACTGTATACTATATTTAGGATATAAATTACTGAATGAATCTTGATATACAGTTAGCCTTAGATTGACAGCAGACTTATCACTGTTTAACACATTAACTGAATATAATTATCCTATCGCACACACACACACACGCTAACACACACACATTTATATATATATATATATATATATATTTCATTTTTAATCCATATAACACGCAGACTTTGAACATATAATCAACGACCTCACCAGCCAGGACTCGAACCCTGGACCTAATGCATGGGACCAGGGTTCGAGTCCTGCGAGTCCTGGCTGGTGAGGTCGTTGATTATATATATATATATATATATATATATATATATATATATATATATATATATATATATATATATATATATATATATATATATATATATATTTATATATATATATATATATATATATATATATATAAAACAAAGATGTATGTCTGTGTGTTTGTGTGTGTGTGTGTATGTGTATGTGTGTGTTTGTGTGTCCGCACGAGAATCTCGGAAATTACTTTACCGATCTGTAGTGATGATGGATGGTAATATATGTAGTGATGATGGATGGTGTTATATGTAATTGAAGGTTCCAAGTGTTCCCTGAAGAAAGCAGTGATGGGTAGGGAAACACCGGGTAACACTGAAGTCCATTTATTAACGGATAGGAGAAATACAAGTAGTGACTAGCGTGTGCCATGCACGGCCCACAGAGTCAGACTAAGACTGCCTTGCCATATGGGAGCCTCGGGGCAATGTTGCCACATAACACGTGCAGTGATGCCAGGTGATTACATATATAAATGCTACTCGGCACAGTAGCTTAGATACATAACCCACAGTAGTGATGATGGATGATGTTATATGTGATGATGATGGATGATGTTATATGTAGTGATGATGGATGATGTTAGATGTAGTGGTGGTGGATGATGTTATATATAGTGATGATGGGTGGTGTTATATGTAGCAATGATGGGTGGTGTTATATGTAGTGATGATGGATGCTGTTATATGTAGTGATGATGGATGATGTTATATGTAGTGATGATGGGTAGTGTTATATGTAGTGGTGGTGGATGATGTTATATCTAGTGATGATGGATGATGTTATCGTTGTTATATGTAGTGATGATGGGTGGTGTTATATGTAGTGATGATGGATGATGTTATATGTAGTGATGATGGGTGGTGTTATATATAGTGGTGGTGGATGATGTTATATCTAGTGATGATGGATGATGTTATCGTTGTTATATGTAGTGATGATGGGTGGTGTTATATGTAGTGATGATGGTTGGTGTTATATGTAGTGATGATGGATGTTGTTATATGTAGTGATGATGGTTGGTGTTATATGTAGTGATGATGGTTGGTGTTATATGTAGTGATGATGGTTGGTGTTATATGTAGTGATGATGGATGGTGTTATATGTAGTGATGATTAGACAATCTATCTATATAAAACAAATTAGTCTGTCTGATTGTCTGTGTGTCCGCACGAGAATCTCGGAAACTACTTTACCGATCTGTAGTGATGATGGATGGTGTTATATGTAGTAATGATGGATGATGTTATCGTTGTTATATATAGTGATGATGGATGGTGTTACATCTAGTGATGATGGATGATGTTATCGTTGTTATATGTAGTGATGATGGGTGGTGTTATATGTAGTGATGATGGATGTTGTTATATGTAGTGATGATGGGTAGTGTTATATCTAGTGATGATGGATGATGTAATCGTTGTTATATGTAGTGATGATGGGTGGTGTTATATGTAGTGATGATGGATGTTGTTATATGTAGTGATGATGGATGTTGATATATGTAGTAATGATGGGTGGTGTTATAAGTAGTGATGATGGATGGTGTTATATGTAGTGATGATGGATGGTGTTATATGTAGTTATGATGGATTACGTTATATGTAGCGATGATGGGTGGTGTTATATGTAGTGATGATTAGACAATAAAATAATAACAGTTTAATGCTTAAAAAATATATTTTGCTGTACCGTTGTAGTGAAAAACATGGTTGAACTTACATACACCGCTAATGAACTATTGATGGAAGATGAAGTTTTGGGGACTGAACAGTGAGACAATGTGGAGCCTCCCAGAGGGTGGAGTCCTACCGTGGCCTAGCGGATGAGCCGCCCGGAGGGCGGCAATTCTGCTAGTAATAATAATAAAAATTAACGGTTTAGTGAAAGCGCATGGAAGCTGCAAGGCTGAAAATCTACAGCTACATAATTGGGGAAGGGGTCACTTGAAGAAATCTATCTTAGAAAGATACATGCTCACAGAAGAAGGTTATCGTTCAAAGTTTCGTGACTCGGTACCGGACAAAGGAGAAAGTGTTAGTCAGTTTACATCTCGCATGATTCGGTTTCGAGAACGGTGGATAGACTTATCTGGAATCGAAAAGTCTTTTAAAGGGCTTAAAGACTTGATTCTCCCTGAACAGTTCCAGAGACGGTGTCATTTAGAGTTGCGACTATTTTTGAAAGAGAGAAAACCAACAACAATCAAAGCCCTGAGGGAACTGACTGAGACCTACTTAGAAGCACACGATGGTCCTATGTGGAAGACTTATCAGCTTAGACATTAAAAGGAGGGAAGAACACCTTGCCCAACTACAACTGAAGCAACTCCAGATAAGAAGCCATCACCAGCTTTTCCGACACGAAGAGAAAAGGTTTGTTTCCCGTGTCATAAGAAGGGTCATGTAGCAAGGGACTGCAGGGTAGCGACGCGAGGACCTCGCCAGGATCATCAGGAGGTTCAAGACAGCCAAGGAAGAAAGAGCGGCGGCTTGCCTGACACAGTCACCCCGGGATCAGACTGTGATTCTGCCATCTGGTGAGGTGGTACCCCTGATGATTCCATGACAAAATCCCACCGGACAAAATCCCAGCCTCTTATCCCAAAAGTGGACAAAAACCCAGTCTCATATAAGATTAATTAATAAGCTTAGGTGTAAAGACCTTTTGCCTGTTATCATATTAATAATATGATATTATATTATATTGTATTAAGGTATCGTATACAATTTTTATGTGTGGCAAAAAAAAAAACACGACAAAATAATAACACCTATGACCAAACCTAACCTAACCTAACCTTGTCAACTTGTGTTCAGATCGCCAATCCTCATCTAAAAGTGTAGAGGAGTTCCTACAGGGTGTTGGAACATGCATTCGTTTCAAGTGATTATTCATAATTATGTTTACATAAATGGAGCAGAATTTTCTGAGCATGAAATAAATTTATATATTGAATATTGTTTATTGTATCAATTTGACTTTAAATTTTTTTTTTATTTATTTCTTTTTTTAAATATGAGAATTTTATTTATAAGGCTGGGATTTTGTCCACTTTTGGGATAAGAGGCTGGGATTTTGTCCGCTGGGATTTTGTCCACTGGGATTTTGTCCACTGGGATTTTGTCCTGTAACCACCCCTGATTGTTGGTGTGGGATCGATGAAAAACGATCTGAAGACTACTCGAGGGTATGTCAACGCCCATGAAGTAGAGGTGCTCCGCGAGACCTGTTACAGGTGTGGTGGTCAAGCGGCGCTACGTTCAAGATCATCAGTTGACAGGAGACGAAAAGAGGTGTGTACTATTAGATAAAACAGTCAGAGTTTATCCAGTAACCCAAGTTTATGTTGACGCCTTATTTTTCTGGTACTGTGGAGGCTACGTGTGTGAATGATGCCATATGTGACTTAATCATTGGGAACATTCCTGGAGCTCTACCAGGACCTGTGAAGGTTGCTGAGGCCCCTACACCATTATTGGTAAACACTGGTTCAACCAGGCTTGGGGATATTTCTCCCACTTCGCCACCAGCAGTGACAGAGAAAGTGCTTCCCAGTCCTTGTGTAGTGCCGGCCAGTCTACAGACGACGTAGAAGAAGAAAGGGCTTCAACGTCTCTGCTTGTCACCGGAGCAGTTCAGACAAAGGTACAACAGCGAAACAGGAAAAAGTTCAAACCATTACGTGTTAGTAAAGTAAAATATGTAGTTAGTAACGATTCTGCCATTACAATAGAAGAGCAGGAGAGGGATGAATCCCTTCAAAGATTAATTAATAATTCTGTAAATGGGAAAATAAGGCTAGTGAAACTTAAGGGATTGTGGTACAGACTTCAGGTTCGCAAATGTGGGGAGGAATTTGAGCAACTTTTATTACCTAAGGGCAGACGAGACTATGTACTAACTTTGGCCCACGAAGCTTTTGATGGGTGGTCATTTCGGGGTGAAAAAGATTGAGGATAGAGTTCTGAGTTCATTTTACTAGCCAGGAGTTTTTAGAGATATTAAAAGATGGTGCCGTAGTTGTGATAGGTGTCAGAGGACAATACCAAAGGGGAAGGTACCTAAGGTACCCTAGGGAAAATACCCTTAATGTCTATCCCTTTTCAGAAAGTTGCAGTAGATCTGGTCGGTTCGATCAGTCCACCCTCTTCCCAGGGGAATAGGTGGATTCTGACTTTAGTGGATTATGCAACAAGGTGGCCAGAGGCGGTAGCTATTCCAGGGATTGAGACGGAAAGGGCTGCAGAGGCTTTGCTAGGTATATTCAGTCGAGTTGGGTTCCCCAAGAAATTCTTAGTGATCGGGGCTCACAAGTCACCTCAAATTTAATGCAAGAGATATGTAGACTCATAAGTACTAAGCAGTCATTTACCACGCCTTACCATCCTACAGATATGTCCAATGGTTTATGTGAAAAGTTTAATGACACTTTTAAGTCAATGCTGAAGAAGACTTGTCAAGAGCGCCCGTTAGATTGGGACAGATATCTTTCAGCAGTGCTCTTTGCTTATAGAGAGATACCACGGGCGAGTACAGGATT